GTCACCGACCCCAAAAAACCCGACCCTACCCCGCACACACGTCGACGAGGTTGTATGACCGAACGATGGGCTCCAGCCGGGCGGACCGAGGCAGCTTTTCATACCACACGCGGGGATGTGCTAGTTCAGCCACCCGCAATGCCGCGCCAGTGCCCGGTACAATCCCCTGGGCATGCGAGCCAAGCATCGTTGGCAAAATCGCTGGCGCGATACTAAGGAGAAGCCCTCTCCTGTCGATCGGGGATCTTGGGAGAAAGGGGCGTCGCGGCGCCACGGCAGCAGACGTCCATCCGATTCCCCTCGGATGATGTGAACCTTGGCCCCTTGCACCATCCAATGCGTGGACACGGCCACGTCATCGTCAGACAGGGCGCCCTCCAAATCGCTGGCTTCATTGGACACATCGGAGGCTGATTCTGAGGAGTTCGAGGAGGTGTCCGTGACGGATTCATTGTCAGCTGCTTCCGGTTCCGGTTCTGGCCCATTGTCCACCGGCAACGTGAGGTCTTGGACATCCGCTGAGCCCCTGGCAGTGGCATCATCTGTAGGCAGGTCCTGCTCGATCTCGACCGGTGGTGGTGCTGGGAGCTCGGTCCCAAGGTCACCAAGGCGCTCATTCTGGGCAGCGAATTCTGCCCAGGTCCAACTGTCCCGGGGGTGCAGTCCCTCATCTGTCAGCGCCAATTCCGCCTTCTTAGCATGGTAAAGGCTCATGAAGCGCTTCAGCAGTGCCTTCTTCACCTGGGCTGAATGAAGAGCTCGTTGGCCGCTATAATGAATCCCCATAGTCCAGGTGGCCCGTGACTTCTGGTTGGGGATGGGTCCACCGCCAGTGGGGATCTCAACCCAATTGCCAATGGCCTGTTGGTCCGCCGGGGTCAACCGGACCACATTCCCAAGAGTGGGGAGGAACCGTCTCAAACGGTTGAATCCCGCAGTCTGGGCTTGGTCGGGAGCCGTGCCCAGGTCGAGGAGGGTGCCCCGCAGCAGCTCCAAAAAGCGTCCTCTGGACAGCTTGCGGTCCAAAGCCCAAGGGGTGTGTTCCGTGACCTGCCACAGGTCCATCGGCTCTAGCTGCAATGCCGGCCACAAGAACTTGCACCCTGGCAGAAGCTCCATGGTGACAAAGTCCTGGATGACCTTGACCAAGCTGAACCCTGGCCATGGGATGTCAGGCAGGCCGGGCCCCCTGGCGCCGCGCCTTGCCCTGCGAGCATGTGAAGAACAGGGCATTGGTCGCCAGGTGGTCAAACTTAGACCGTTGAATATGCTCGAATCTGATGCAGGATACAGCCGCCCACAACATAAATGCCAGCACCAAAGTGTTGGTGCCGGAACTTTGGCGAAGCTTCAGGATCATGTTGATGAACTCCCACGGTTGCAGTTCGAGCTTCTGTTGCGAGGTATGTCCCACAGGAAGCAGCTTGTAACCGCGCACCATCCAGTGGTCCAGCGGGAATTGAACCCCGAACTGTGACCGGAACCAGTTGAGGGCGTGGAACATAGCTGATGCTGCTGTGGGACCCCCGCGTGCTACCTCCTTGAGGAAGGTGCTCAACTGCAGAGGGGTGGGTTGCCGCACATCGAACCCCAACCTGAGAGCAAACTCCCGCCACCTTCGCAAGGTGCTCGCCAGAGCTCCCAAGCGATGTACCGAAAGCCTGTCGGCGGCCGGCATAACAGACTCCTTGAGGAGTTGCATCCTGGTGGCGTCTTGCAGCTGGGTTCGGGAGACCCCCAATTCTTCCAGGTCGAGGAAGTCCTGGATCAGGAGCTCGAACAAGGTCTGGGTTTTGGCCATCTTGGCTGCTTGTTCTTTCACATAGGGGTCTCGGGCCGCAAGGCTCATGAGGAGCGGAGGTTCCCTGACCTCTCCTGTCTCCAAAAGGCGGCGCACCGGCCGAGCGGCCGGCTGTGAAGGTCCCTCTGGTCTGGCTGGGGCCGAGGTGGAGACTGCCGACTGGCGGTGGATGCAGATCTCCCTCAAGTGCTTGCGCTGTGAGGCTTGAGCCCTCTGAGACGCCAAAGTCCAGAAGGAGACGATGGTGAAGCCTTCCTCCGCGGACACCGAGCCATGGCGCCCTTCCAACTCATCGAGGAGCGCACCTCCTGTGGGCCACAGGCTATGAACATCCTCACAGGTCTGGACTCCCAGGTCCACGAGCTGATTGAGGAGGTTGATCGGCCGGTCGACCAGTAGCTCCTGTAGCATACCCTCCATGGGTTGATCCGGCTTCAGCGCTCCTGAGCTGCTCGATGATGTAGGCGCGCACGTCGTCTGCGGACATGTTGAGGGCGGTTGTCGACCTCATGGAAGTGCGGGGCCGACTCTTGGGTTCCAAACCCTTCGATCTGGACCGCCGCCTCTTGCTCTCCGCCATGGTCCGCCACGTAACGTTCGTGACCTTGGTCCCACGAGATGCCCTGAGTGGTGCACTTGTCACACACTCGCTTCTCGCTGTCACACTGGTGACAGATGGCCCCAAAAGGTTCGCCGCCTCGTCCACAGCGGCTATAGCAACCCTCGCACCAGGACGTGGTCCACTGGGCACACGTCCGGCACCAGTCAGCCGGGATGTCGGGCGCCCTATAGACCTGGTGCCACTGGGACTCGATGTACGCGCCCCTGGCGGCTAGGGAGGCCAGTCGCTCCTCACGGGTAGCACACTGGCCTCCCTGCCCCTGTTGCCCCGCCTCCACCGCCGAGCCACCACCCTCCACGTAGCCAGCTCAGTGGAGAGGATGGCGGGCATGGCAAGAAAAAGGAGGGGAGCCCCCAATCTTGAGCCAAAATGGCATCCAAGATTGAGGATCCCCGCTATATGTTTCACATCTCAATATGTCCCTACCCAACCAACCATTCATATTGATTGATAACAATGCCGAGATATCTCAACATATCTCGAAATACAAGATCAGTGTCAGTGAAGCATGCAAAGCAGTGATGAGTCACTCTTTCTGTAACTTTTTCAGTACTATAGTCATCTTTTACTTAATCTTTCATAATCTTTCTGGATGTTTCTTTATCAAGATGATGGATGAACTGATATCCACTGGGAATCACCTGTGACCCTCCACCGTGCAACGGAGAGCGGCCTCGACCCCTTCCTGCACTTCGCGGTCTTGGAATCTTTGGCTGCAAGATGATGGGCTCCAGCTTATGGCTTCGGTACTGGGCCACTGGCCTCAATCGAGCTCCCGACCGACTTCAAGATTTGGTCTGTCTTGTGTCGACCAACTCAGGTCGTGCTCGTTGATTCCAAAGAAGTAGGGTGATTGTCAAACCTAGCTGTTTGGAGGGATCTACCCTGAGTTGATTTGGCAGTCCTCCATACTCCTCCATCCAATCTGGCTTTATCTATACATCTTTGAACACCTGGCATTCATGCCAAATCGTGCAGGACCCTCGAAGCATTCATGGCAATAGACCATGCAAATCCATGTAACATAATAGGTGAGACATGGTGAAACCATGTGACACCCAGTTGTTGCAGGTGCCCCCTTTGATCTAAAATAGACCTATCACCGTACCGGTCCAAGGCTTGAGATTTGACCAGTGTTGGCACAACACCCCCATCGAACTATGAACTGCATCAATTGGATCACGTATGCCAAAATGGAAAACACAAAGAACCAATGTAATTAACCGCTTGGGGGTTCGGGCCACCTCACTGTTCCATGATGTTCCAGGTCTTGGCAGCAGTTCTGTTTAAGTTTAAACAAAATTGGTAATGGTTTGTTTTGGCGGTTGACCTGGTGCTTTGGCAGGTGCCTTCTCGACTCATTTCCACTGATCCCGCGGGTTTGGAGCGTCATTTGGGCACCACAAACAGCCCTTTTGAATCATTTTCATTTTGTTTTGATGGGTCATAGAAGATTCGACCTTCACTGAGACTGGTGAGAGTGGTTGAATTCATCCAAGACACACCACTTGCCTTGGCTCAGAATGGGGTGAGGCCTCGCTGGGGTGCGAGCTGCCACTTCGAGCGCTCCGGCTTGGACCTGGGGCACGCTTGGGTGAGAAGAGTTGAGAACCCCAAACGAAGTAGATTGGACTATTCATGAGTATTATAAATTTGATAGTACAATTATTGAATATTCAATCATATTCAAATCAAAAGATCAAGCAATCAATGTTTTCATCGCTGGCTGGAAGTCCAGTTTGCAACACGGGAAGAGAATGGGCCCTGTTTGCAACACATGGGTGTGTGACTAGGCTCTGATTGGATCCTCAATCATCGCCCTGAAACAGTTGAGTGAACGATGGATTCCCGTCAATCCAGTCCCCCCAGCTGGCTATGAGAAAATAGCCGTGGGTCCCAGTGCCCGAAAAAGACGCCAAAGGGACTCGCTCGTTGCAGCTAGGAGGCTTCTTGAGGTGCTCATGTTGGTTTGACATGCGCATGTATATTTTGTTGAAACATGTTCGTTGGTGAATTTCTCAATCTCCTGCTTTGCTTTGAGACTGTGCTCTGTCTTCCTCTAAATTATGCAACATCCTCACGCTCTCGTTGAAGTACACACAAACGCATCTGCAAATGTGTTGAAATGTCTCACTGCAGCTCGGGCAACTAGGAGGCCATCGCTATTAGGTTGGAGGCCATTGCTACTAGTAACAATAAAGCTTTCTAGTAACTAGAAGCTACTAAGGTGGAGGCCATCGCTATTAGGTTGGAGAGTTTGGTCTAGCAAACACTCTGCAACGGGCGGTGCTTTGAGCCCAGTACTTCATTCAAGTCCTTGGGCGAACTGAAGCAGTCACCTACGATCTGTGGCTCCAAGTCACCATCCTGGTCAACCAAATTGACCGGAATGCCTGAGGGTCAATGCTATCTAAGAACCTCAAATTTATGGGAAACCAGCACAAACACACTCATGTTACGTGTTGCCAACACGCCTAGTGATGTGCATCGGCCATCGGGTCTTGCAAGCATAAATGTCTAGCTGGATTGAGATGTACACTACATTTTCACATTTGCTACACTCATGTACTGATCATGACTCAGACTCGAGGTAGTTGTATAGATCAAACATGCACAAAGCATCCGCCCTGTCTGAGAAAGGTAGCAACCGCTCTTGTTTTCCAGGCATGGACATCTTTGGCCTTGGCTGCCTGCCCAGGACTGAAACGGGCAAAGGCTGCGACATTACTGCAATCTTGGCTAAAGTAGCTTTCGCAATAAAAAGCCGAACCTTACACATCTCCTAGAAAAGGGAACATAAATGGCTCCCCGCGCAACACACCAGGCAATTTCCAGATCAGAACATCTGATTCATGCCACTACAACACTTATATAATCTTATATAATATGGTCGAAACCTAGCAAAACATTGGGGGGCTTCTCGCAATCCGGCCATTTGGCAGAGACGCAACCTTGTTCTAATTCAGTGTGGAGGAGATAGCGGGGAGGCCATCGGTGATACGGGAACCACTGGGGCCTGGGGGATCCTGGGGGAGGCAACCTGATGCAACTTGCGCGTCGCGTTACGGTTGGTCGGGCTCCTCGATGGGTCATACAGTCATACCACATACACAGTAGCTTTGCAAATGCTGCTTTATTGCCCACAGTCTTTGCTGCAGGAAATCCCAAAGTTGATGGCATAGCCATTTCGTTGCTACACATGACACATGCCCACAAAGGGTTTCCTCCTGCTTGCAGCATTGGCCCAAAAAGACCATCTCATCCAAGTCTAAGATTAGTTCCCGCATGTTGATCAACAGGCGGCCCTGTTAACATGGTCATCGGATGTTCATCCAATTTGGAGGCCTCGCAGCATCTACAAAGCTCCTCTCATACTTGGTCAATGGTCCATCCTTATTACAGTATCTCCTCAAAAACCTCTTTATTACAGTATCTCTGTATACTTCTTTTCACCAAGAACTAGCTGCAGCTTTCTCTCATGGCTTTACCACATGCTTTCACCAAGAACTTCACGCCTTGGCTGTGGAGCTGTAGCCTCAGAACGTTGGTGCCGAATGTGCTAAAAGATTTTGGGATACAAAAATGGCTTGGAGTCCATCGGGTGCCAAGATCCAATTTATGCATATATCATATGTATATATATATATTGCATAACTTATATATATATATACAGCATATATATATATATCTATCTACAAACTTAACTTATGTCTAAAAAAATAGGTTCAGTTTCCCAAAAAATCTAGGAACCAAATGAATACAGTAGTGCGAGTGCTTCTTCAAGGAAGCGTGAGCTATCCTGCGTCCTGTCGGTAGTAGCTACTTAAGCTACTAGCTACCTAGCTTCTACTAGCTACCTCTAGCTACTACCTACCTCACCTCTACAGCCTACCCCCCCGGCTTTTCAAAAACATAGTAGCGATGCACTTGTTACTACTAGCTTCTTAGATACTCTGATGTCCAAGATATCTGACTAGCTTAACAAGATCCACCCATCACCCATCCAATCTTCAGCCTGGTCAGCGGGACTGGGTCTGAAATTTGCTCGCCAAAGAGCTCGAGCCTGCAAGCAGCCGCCTGCAATTTCATCTGCCTGGCTCACCACAAACAAGATTGAGACACATGATGGGTTTACTCCACTGGAATCCGAAAATGCACCGCCACCACAACTTATCCTACCGGGGTGTGATGGTATTGGCTTGCTTGCCATTGGAATGAGCAACATGGGATTCGCAAAATATATCTTCAGCCACGATGTTGCACGAGCAAGAAGACCCTTCAAAAATCTCCAATGGGACTTGAGACCATGAGCTGCTCAACATAAACTCCAAGTTCCTTCTCTCAAAAAGAACCCTTTCGAACACTGAGTGAGCTACAGTCGAAGTGCCCGGACTGCTTGCCGTGTATTCCGACTGATCCGGGACTCCAAGTCCTGGGAATGATGTTCCAGGTATCGAAGGTCCAGGTTTCTGAGGGGTGGGAGTCAACCAGTGTTGGATTCTTGCTTTTGAGGTGAAAAAAAATTCTTCTTGTTACTACTAGTAAGGCACCTGTTACTACTAGCGTGGCACTTGTTACTAGTCGTTCGAGAAAACACAAACAATTATGTCTTCGCAATGCAAAGGCGTCAAGTGGCACCTATCATTGTTTTTGAGGTCATTTCTGTCTCCTGGAGTCTCATTAGCAAAAGTAGCAAACCACAGACTCAGAACTTCCACTTGTAGGCGCAAGGACGCTACTAGGGGCTCCTGGCCTTACTACTAGGAGCAAGGACGCTACAAACAAATTGTCATACACTTACCACGGCCACTGATCAATGTACGCATCAAAAGCACCGATTCAGTCGGATGTACTACAGTCTAGCAAAGTCCAATCTGCCTTGCTGTCTCGCCAGAAGCGTACCCATCAGTTAATTTTCAATTGATTTGTTTTCTCACCAATCCTTGGTGCATCAGAATATCTTCCACCAACTGTAGGGTTCTCATGCCTGAACACTTTTGTAGGTCCTCAAAATAGGATTCAGCTCACTTTGCAGTCGGTTTCAATGTCCTGCAGTTCAGTGAGCTGCTCAACGCCAGGAAGAATCGGGGTGGATTCCTGGCTGAAGGCATCCATCAAACATGGAGAAACTGAAACATTCATAACAGGACGATATAATGACATAGTGATCTCGATCCAGAATATCCTATTTTGATGGGTCCAACACTTGCGTTTTGCATATTTGGATTTCACCATGTTTGAGTGTCTTTGACCAGTGGGATCTCCCGCAAAGCTAGACGACCCAAAACCAACATTTGAGAATGACACTTTTCCGGGTGCATTTATGACATCCACAACGCCACTCGGCCTTGGAACTTTTTGATTGATAGATTGGAATCTTGTTATGTGTCAAGCGCCCGAACTGCTCACTCCTCCGTATACTTCGGTGCCAACCTTGCTAGAATTTGCAGGCAAAGTGAACTCGGTAGGTTCGAGGATTTCTTGCAGTCTGTCAATGAGCCCTCCAAGGCTACACTGTGTCTGACCAATATTGTTTTTGATTAGACCTCTAGTCGAAGAGCTGATCATGCTCAAGAAAAATCACAAATAAACCAAGCAACTCCGGCACCAGAGTCAGGGTTGCAATGGCCAGTTCCTTGATGAGTCAACCAAATGGTGTCAAACGATAATTCAACGATCAGAAATGGAGTTCCTGGCCCAATTGGGTCAGGACATGACATCTGAAATAGACCTGAAATAGAACCATGACACTTCAGAATGATAAAGAAGTTCAAAAGAAACATCAGAAGACCCAAGTGTAGATCGCCAGAAAGTATCACAAAGATTCACACCGTAATCAGACTGCCCACCATTGTCCACAGCCACAGCAAGATGAGGAGCAGCCACTCTAGATATTAGACAAACAAAGGCTCCAAACAAGTTATATTCACTCACGCTGTGGCTATTGGCTTTGGTAGCTCGCTTTATCGCTTTGCAGAGTTTGGTTAGCTTTTTCGTTCACACGCGAGAAAAACACATGTAAAAGCCTAAAACTGAGCAGTTGCACTACTGGGAGCAAGAAGCTACTAGTAGCAAAGGGCATCGCTACTAGGAGCAAAGATGCAACTAGGGGCTCCTGGCCTTACTACTAGGAGCAAGAAGCTACCACTTGTCAAGAATACGCTAACACGCTTAACTAGGGAACTGGCACCCAGTCCCGCGCGCGACACGTACCAATGCATCGCGCCTGCACCAAATTATTCGGCTCCTATGGCTGCGGCTCCACTGGCCTTTTTGCCACAGTAGTACTGTCCTTGTTACTACAGTAGTATCTTCTTGTTCCTAGTAGCGATGGCCTCCAACCTAATAGCGATGGCCTCCCTCCACCTAGTATCTTCTTGCTACGTAGTGATGCCATTGTTACTAGTAGCGATGCACTTGTTACTAGTAGAGGCAAGCCTTGCCACCCACTGTCTTCCATGTGGTACAGGAGAAGTCGCGAGACCTTTGGCACCATCTTCTGTCACTACGGTCACTACGGCGGGAGATGATCACTACGGTCACTACGGCGCACAGGTCACTGAACTGACCATTTTCTTCAGAGTGCTTCGCTTCGCCCCAAGACATTTTACAGGAAGGACCATTGCTGCACACCGCCCCTAACAGTGCCAGACCTGGCTGCTTCCACAGTGGAGCTAGAGTTGGGGCGGAGCATGGTGACCTGAACTTCTGTGACTTCTGTGATTCACTAAATGATTTTCTCTATCTCTCTCTCTCTCTCTCTGCTGTGGACTGGGATTCAGGGTCATAATCGCGCAGTCATCACGCATATTTCACGGATACTCCTGGAAATACTAGCAATATATATATATATATTAATACGTATATCTGTATATCAAATTATGATATTATATAGAACCGTTGCGTGGAGTCTGCCAATGGCGCAAACAGCTTGCCTGTCACCACCCCCAGTCCACTAGCATGCACGCAACGTTGGGAACTTCAGCCAAATAATGACAAATATATCCGCAAACAAGACGGACGTACAGAAAGGCATCGTAAAATCGTATCATACTTTGGGTTATGTTTTTTTGATGTCTTTTGGTATTTCAGTTGTTCACCATATCGCTTTGCAGAGTTTGGGGCAACCCACAGCGTGGGAGTGAACGTCGAAATCAAGACCCTTTCATGAACTGTAGCATGTGGCCTATCTGGAACAACTTGCCAAGACTTCAGGCCTCCCGGCTTTTACTAGCGCCTGCAACATGCGGTGGCAACCACGGAGCACAAAGACTAGATCTGCAAGAGGAATGCATGGAAGTGTTGCATTATGATACTCAGTTCTTGCGGCGCAACGTGAGCAACCAATACTTGAGGCCGAGGGTAGGTGACGAAAGCTAGCAGGGATGCATCCGTGTCAGTGGAGGCGAAGCATACAGCGCCGTCCAGTGACAAAGGATTGGTGGGACATCAAGCGGAGTGAGGCAATCTTTTTTCATAGGCATGGGGCTGTTGGAGGGATGGTTCACAAGGTCTCGCTCATGAGGTAAAACGTTGTGAACATGTAAGACACACGGACAGCAATGACACAGCCAACCTTCGCTTGTGAATCTGTTGAATCTGTTGCATCGTATCCCGAAACCTCCACGGAGGAGTTGAACATATGAAGTTTTCACGTGATGAGGCGATCTCGAGGATTCCAGCCCCTCACTTGCTAAAGCAAGGACAACTCCAGCTAGCTGATGCTAGCTTTCGTGATAATTCATATAGGGCCAAACAAATTATGACGGTTGCAAACATGATCTTGCCCCAAACTCGACTAGATTTCCACGCTTGGAAGATAGCAAACATTGTGTTGTGCCCATCTTTGAGTTGACAGCAGGGTGGGTAGCCAACTGATGATGGTCATGCTGCTCAGCCAAATCTTGCCGTAATCCAACGATAGGAATACACAGCTGTTCTCTTTGTTGTCAAAAACACTTGGAGGTGGAACACTATAGCATAGATAGAAACATCATTAATATATAACTGATATAATTTGTGTGCTCAATTGTGTTCAATGCTTTCATCGCGGCAATATCCTGAGGAAGAACATGGAGAAACGTTGGACATTTCTTGAAGTATTCAGGCATGTTCAACGAACAGTATCCCTCATAAGATCTAAGACCTGACTTACAACCGCATCACCTACGGACTTGGAAAACCAAAACAAAACCCGACAAATGCAGCTTCCGACCTGGATCTCTTCACCTGAAGCGAGGAAAAACTGGTGTGGTGGAAGGAACAACGGGTGTGCCAGAGGTACTTTTGATTGAAATCACAAAGTCTAAGTACATAGCTACCCCACGCTTCAACCGACGGCTACAAGTTCAGTTGCAGGATTCTTAAGTTTGAGGCATTGCAAGCTGGTGCTTTTTCTGCAAAACAACGCCTAGCAGCCTGACAGCTGTAGCCTTCAGTGAGACCAAGTCCGAACTGCCCCTTGGCAAATTCCGGTCCGAGCATTGTCTAACGGAAAGGCTGCCCCATCGCCAAAGTGAGTTTGGGTAGCCTGAGTGCTGGTGAAATCGGCAAAGCCGGGTTCGTCATTCTTGCAAAGTTTGAGAGAGCAAAGGAATCGGCAAGCTAAAAGCACGTGCAGTGAACGTGTTGGGATGGTCGCTTTGATCACCACAGCATCAACATTATGTTGCATTGTACATTTCTCTTTTGCAGGTCCATGCAAAGAACTAAAGTCAAAGTGCAAATCTTTCCATAACCAGGATTCAAAGTAAGGCATCATTCTCACTCCCTCCTCAGTGTTGAGTGCGTCTCAGCAAAATGTCCAGTTTGGTTCCAATGCTTCATGGCACAAGTAAGCCGGGTTCATTTGGTTTGGAGGTCTGAAGACAATAGCTAATTGATGCTTTACAAGTCATTGTAAAAAAAGGATTCACTGCAGGACAACAATCGACATACCAGTAAAGTTGAGTAACTACTGAAAGCAGTATCCTCTCCCTCCTCTCCCTCATCTCCCTCATCATCACGATACCCTCTCATCTCAGCAGAAGTTGCAAAGACCATCATCATTCAATCTTGTTCGTTCGGAGAAAACATGAGAAAACCAAGAAGTCATTGTTAGAGGAAAAGGCCGGCCATGTTTGTTTTAGTGTCCAAGTCGTTTGACAATTTATTGTGGTCAACGACGGATTCGGAAACTCGAACCGGGGATTCGGAAACTAGGCACGGATTCGGAAACTGGGGGGAGAGCGCCGATTCGGAAACTAGTAACAAAGCACGGATTCAGAAACTAGGCCGGCCGCAACGGCGGGAACGGAGTCGCAAACTAGGGACGCCACGGGTTTGGGAACTAGGGAGTACGGATTTGGAGCTAGTTTCTGAATCGTCTTCTGTTTATGTTCTAACACGTGTGCATGTATCGTCTTAGCTGCATTTGCAATCGAACGTCTTTTGACCCCCAACCAATCCCCGTACCCCCCCGACCCCATCATCCCACCCGTGCCCACTGTTTGCAACTTCAAAGGGACGTCACCCCACCCCACCCAGAGACCCTATAGTTCTGAATCCGGCCTTTGGCCTAGTTTCTGAATCGGAGATAGTTTCTGAATCGTCTTCTGTTCACGTATATTGTAGCGAGTGTGTCTACCCTATATTACAATACCATAGTTCCCAGAACATATCAAAATCCAGCAACCCAGCATGCTTCTCAAAACAGGAAAAGCCAACCAATCAATGCATCCTCTTCCAAAACCCTGCAACAATATGTGTATATATATATATATCTGTTTTGTCGCAAGCAGCATATTTGACAACCACACGTTGATTGTTTTAGAGGGTTTCCACTTCCCTGTGCCTGGAGATTGTACATAATATACAATATAGAATAAAAATGTATTCTCCTCTACTTCAAGAACAATATCCAATCTTGTTTCTTATAGCTTCTTGCTCCTAGTAGCGATGCCAGGAGCCCCTAGTAGCGTCCTTTGCTCCTCTGAAGACCCCACCGCCCACACATCGCCACATCGCTTTGTTTTTCCGTGCGGCTTCAGCCAGGGCGTCCATCTCTTGCAGCCAAAGCCGGCTGAACTCCTCCACCTGACGGTCCCGCTGGGGGTCGATGCAGCGACCGTCCATTCAAAAAGGAGTCAAAAGGAGTATAAACAAATGAAGATACAACAAAAAATATGAAAGAAGAGGAGAACAGTATATATAAGACAAAATAAGAAAAGATAAAGCCACAACAATAACAAAAGAGATGAACAAAGTGGAACGTGTTCAATTTCCAATACAGGGCCCAGTTTCGCCTCCCTTTTTCACTCTCATCAGGGGATCCTCGGGTGTGAAACTAGGAGGTTTCCATAACAACTGTGGCATGGACTCTCTGCCTGATGATTGAATATATATATATATATAATTAAATAATTATATATATGTATATATATACACCATTTGTATTCTATCCATTTCTTGCATCCCAAAGGAGTCAAAATGAAACACAACAGGCCAACGATGAAAGGATCAGCAGGAATGAGACCTCCTCTCTCCGTAGGAATGCAAACTTTAAACAAGCGGTCGAAGCATCCGCAAAGAAGAACAACGCGTGAGGCAGGAGGGATGCAACTCATCTCTCAACTGAGGAGTCTGTAAAAATAATCTCTAAAGGGAGACACATGTGAAAGTAACACTCTCAGCCTCATCAATGATCTCTGGATCTGCAATCATGCTGGCATAAAGGTTTCCATTGTAGCTGATCACGGAAATCTGTGTCATGACATTTGCAATCACCTCAGGACACAGCCAAATCACCCTTGATGTTACTGTATATAAATACATATCTGCAAATCTGCATGAAAAAGAACTGGACAAGTGCTGCTGCACTCCACCTATTGTAGGTCTGTAAGGGTGGTAGGGCCCTACCTGGTCAAAGGTACAAAGGCTGCTAATTTGCCAAGGTGCCATTGTGATACCCTTTAAAACTTCACCATTTTCAGCAGGCCATGTCCTTAGAGTTGGAGGGCGCCGTCAACAGAGTTGCGGTCAAGGTTCTGTTGAGAACATGCAAATACCCAGGTCCAGCTTCTAGGCATCCATTGCAAAAACAACATTGTTGGTCACCATCACCATGTAATTTCATCACCCTTCATTGTTAGGTTGGATGCTTTTAGATGCATTTTATAAACTTTGGGCCCTATAAAATGCCTAGAGAGGGTGGATGTCCTACAAATGCCAAACTTGGCAAAAAAAGCATCCAAACTATAAATTGAGGTAGGTGGATTCTAAGCATTCAACAATAAAAATAGGAAAAAAACACAGCCGGCCTATAAAATGCTCATGATGGGTTCGCCATAGAATTTATACCAAAAAGCTCACTGTCTATATAATGCCGCGTGTGGGTGCCGGTTGCCTATAAAATGCCTGGACCAGGTGCAAGCATCAAATCTATGAAAAATCAAATCCTGCTATAAAATGCAACCTTGACCCTAACAGCCTCAAAATCAGTAAAGTTTATCAAATGCAAAAATGGACCTCGTACCTCCAAAACCAACAAAAAAACAAGTCAGACTGTGCACCGCATGGGTCCCCTATAGATTCAGGCTCAACATTGGCAACATATAGCACAAAAGGATCGGCATTTTATAGGCGAACACCGGTGGGGGATGTAGTTTCTACTGTCTGTATTGAACAGGGATTGCGATACCATCTCAATGTACAGTAGGTTGAGTCTCAACACGCCCTATCAAGATGCTGTGGTCAACTGTGGTCACATCGAAAGCCTGTTGCACCAGGGGACACCACAAAAACCAACAACGCGGAAAAGGATCAGCAGTTCCAACCCTCAAAAATGGGTCATACCGCCTTCCAACGCTGTGGCTTCTTGATCTAAAATGTTTGACCGGGCATCAAAGGCCCTGTGGTGCACGGCACATTGGTGATCAAGAAGCTATGCTTGGACCAGGTCTCTCCAGTTGCTTTGGTCCTCAAAGCCAATGAAAGTCAATCGAAAATACCCGAAAGACCTCTAGGACGCCATTAGGGGCTCCTGGCCTTAGGACGCTGCTAGGAGCCCTCTCAAACAGCCAAACAATGCATGTGAACTTCTCACGCCCCAACACTAGCATTGCCATCTACCCCTAAACGGCGGCTTTATATGATCCAGTGCGCAACGTGTTGGACGAAAACGGATGTTTCGTGGAAACCTTCGCGCAATCAGCCGCACCATCAGTTCTGCCCGACAAACATTGGCCAAATCAGCCAATA